TTGGATGATATAGAATTATTTTTTAATTTGTTAAGTGTGACAGTTGTATTTTGGTTAAGTAGCAGATTTCCTTATTCCTTGGAGATGTATGCCACAATATTTAGGATTGAAGGGTTATGGTCTTTTCAGCATATTTTCAAATGGCTCAACAATAACAACAAATACCATGTGTATGTGTATGAGGAGAGAAAAAACTAATGTGGCAAAATTTTAACAAATGTTGACTTTAGCTAGAAGGTATATGTATATTTGAAAATTTTAAAATAAAGTTTGAAAAAGGTAAAAGGGGATTATGGATGGCTCATTACACCTCAGTACAAATGCAATCTGTACTTTGAGGCAGTGTGGTGGTAGATAAAAAAACCAGGGATCTACAGACAGAAGTCCCAATCCAAGTCTCAAATTGTCCACTACTACATGTGCAACAATAAGCAAACCATTTCACATACCCAGGTTTTAGTTTCCTGATAGAGAAAACAAGGACAATTTTATGTCATAAAATTACTGGTGTGTAAACTAGTTAATGCCAATGAAAGCCCTTTACAACTTGTAAAGCAATATACATTACAGCAATAAATTCCACTCATTTTTACACTTTTGAAGTATCTTTTCATCTTCTCTTATAGCCTGAGAGACACCGCTTCAAACAGATTGTGAATTCCCAAAGGGAAGCATTGTATTATCGTCATTATGACCAGTAACTTAAGACCTGACTAAGAACTAACCAACTCATTTTTTTCTAAATAGGAGTTGGAATTTCTTTGGCAGATGTCATGATAAATATTGAAATTGCTGAATATTTAGGCAATTGTGAATACCCAAAATACCCTGATTCTGAACAGTAACATGGTTCTGGACTGAATGAACAGACTTTTGTCAGGAAAAAAAATATGCTTGTGGATAAAGACAAGTTGGATAAGGGGTCCTGAAATTTGTATTTTTAATATATGTCCCAATTATACACTCAGATTTGAGAACATCTGGGGCTAGAAAATATAATGAGTTGTCATTAATCCCTGCAACCAGAGGTAGGGTTAGGAGCTTGGATCAGAATCAATCCCCCAAATAAAAGAAAAGATGAAAAGCAAGAGCAAATTAATTATAACTGTCCAAATGTACATGAATATTCTTCTTAAGTGTTTCCTGATATAGTGGCAACACTGTTGTGCTCTCGAGTTCTACTTCCAGCATCAGCTGGGGGTATGAACTTATGTGTATCTTACCATTTCTCTGAATCTCTGTTTCTCAGTTTCCTCTAAAAAATGTGGCAGAGTTATTGTGCCACCTACATGAACTGATGGGTAAGAAAGCTCTAAGTATATATTACATATTTGTTGACTGATGAGCTTCAAATTTCAAGTGACTTCTCTAGTGACTTCTTTATCTACAGTCATTCCTAGATTATCCTGACTGCCCTATAGTGACACAGTGACACCTCCTAAATTTACATCTTTAGCTGTGATTTCTTCACTGAACTCCTAACTCCTATTCCATCTGTTTGACATTTCCTCTTGGATATCTAATTGGCATCTTTAACTTAGCACATCCAAAACAAAACTATTGATCCCTCTTTCTCAACTCATTCTTCTTTCAGTCTACTCTATTTCCAAAAGACAAATCTTACTCTAGTTGCTCTGATCAATAACCATGGAGTCACCCTTAACCAACATCAAATTCATTAGCAAATCGTGCTGGTCATACCTTCAAAATACATGGAGAACCATTTTGCATCACCTGCACTCTGTCACTTCTAAGCTAGTCCAAGCCACTATCTTTTCTCATCTGAAATACTGCAGTAGCCTCTCAATTTTTCTACTTCTTCTCTTGCCCATCTTTAGATGCTTCTCAACAGAGCAGCCAGGGGAAATATTTAAAATGTTATTTCGTGGAGTAACACTTTCGTGCAGTTTATGTCAGAATGACTAACGACTGAGAGCAAGAAATTAACGATTCAGAGGGACAGACTTCTTGGCTCCTTTCATATCTCATAGCTAATAAATCTTTGAATATGTGGCAGGGGAAAAAACGGTAAGATCATGTCAGTTCTCTGCCCCAACCCCTTCGATGTTATTTGGGATACACCCAAAAGCCCGTATGGTCCAAAATGCGTGCCCTCTCTCCCTCATGATTTAAGGCTTTTGCCTCCTGATGTTCCCTCTATCAGGAATACTCTTCCCCCAGACACCTACATGCTTCAATTGCTCACTTCCGGTCATTTGCAAAACAGCCCCACCGCCATTTCTCTCTTTTACCCCTTACTCACTACCACGTTCTACGTATGTATTTATTATTGTCTCCCCTGACTTGAAGGTAAGCTTCATGGGGCAGCGAGTTCATTTTCTTCCTTACTGGATCCGCAGCGCTTTAAACAGTGACATAGTAGGCACCCCAAAGTTATTTTTATATGCTGCTGATCCTGGCTTTGAGACTGAAAGGCGTTGAGATCTGTAGAAGGAAAGATAATTTTTCCGTTCAGCAGCCGGAGCTGGTGGTGTGACTTTAGGGAGCCTCAGCGCTAGGCACTCAGGGCTGGCCGCTGGGGTAGCTCGGTTCCTCCTCCCGCGCCACCGAGTCCCTTTCTCAGGCTCCACCCCTTCCAGTGCCCTCTTTATATTGGCTGAACCCTTGAAGCCCTTTCCTCCTTCCAGCCAATGGTAGGACAAAACTTGGGCGGGGGGCGGGACCAGAACGCCTGTGAACCGACTGTCTGGCGAAGGGGCGAAAGGACTCCCACTTCCCGGGCACAGAGATGCAGAAACCTCCCGATGCCTAGAAGGGCCTGAGGGTTGGGATGCGGGTTAGTGGGGTGTCGGTGACGTAATTCCTTCTGCGCATTGTTCCAAGATGTGGGTCAGGCGCTTTCGGTGAGGGGTATGTGGCAGCCTGGAGTGGGGGTCCGTGCGCGGTTTCTGGGAGTGGGTCGGGGACACAGGCCGGGAGCCAGCCCTCCTCCACTGCTGCCCGCTTTGGAGACCGGGGAGCGGCAGCTCAAGGGGTCGTTGTGGGCCTGCCCCCACTTTATTCGAAGCTGTCCCTTTGTTTTGGCATGTCTCCCAATTGGCGAGGCTGCCTGCTCTGACCGGGGTTGGGGGGCGGGGAATAGTAGTGACAGAACTGTGTCATCCCCGCCCCCAGCCATTGTGCCCCCCTGGTAATAGCGGTCCAAGTCCAGCCCAGGCCCTCAAAGGACCCTGCAGCACTGGAGTGTTTTATGTAAGTCGCCCGTCCAGTCCCGACTCTGCTCCAGTGAGGAGACGGACCCAGGAGGAAGGCAGTCTTGCCCAAGGTTACTCACTCTTTCACTCATTCATTCAACAGGTGTTTATTGACCACCTACTTAGGTAGTGTGCTGGGTCCTGGGTTTTAGTGTGCACAAGGCAGAGCTGCATTCTGGTAGGGAAGAAGTGGAACAAGCTTGCAGGGTTAGAAGCAGAGTCTGGGAACCTGGAGTTGGAAACACGAAGTATGTGGAGACCTAGTGATCAGAGATGGGTAGTTATTTTTTAAAAATTCTCCTTCTAGCATCCTTTAAGACCTTAATTTTCCTGTCTCTCTAAAGACACTTGACTCAGCAGAGATCCTCTCTCATTTCCCTTCTGCAGACTTTTGTTGGGAAGCCGAAGTGCAGAGAACTGCTCAATTGGAATGAGCCGAGCAGGTAGAGGAGAGTATGGAGGCTTTTAGATACCAATAGAACAGGTGAAAAGGAGGGACTACGCTGTGATGGAATGCGGATTCCCTTCAGGCAGGGGAGGCTTGTCTCTCACTAGTCTTGTGACCTTGGGCAAGTCATTCAACCTCTAGGAGTTTCATTTCCTCTTTTTTAAAGTATCAATGGGAATGATCACGCTTACTGCCCATAGTTCAGTAGGAAGGGGAGATACCCGGGGACGGGACGCTGCCCTGAGTGTCCACTGGGAGTACAGCACTCTGTGTACGGTGATTCAAGGCCCCACTGGGAACTTCCTCACCAAACCCAGGGAAGAGATCAGGCAAGGTCCGAGCCAGGCAGATCCTCTGGAGGGAGGCTGCTGTGCACGGGAGAGAGTGAGCGACTCCCTTCTCTCCTGGGCAGGGGAGACCTATCCTGTGAAACCAGTTAGTCAGTGGACAGGAATCCTGCTTGCTAGAGAATGTGGGGACCAGGGCTGAACAGGAGCATTTCTGGATGGCTATTTATCTAGGGAGAGAGAGAGAGAAGGGCGGGGTGGGGTGGGGTGGGGTGGGATGGGAGTGCCCTGGACCTTGAAGAGCAGAGTTTTGGGATGAAAGGAAGGGTGAGGTAACAGGACTCAAATTTGTCAGGAGACTTGGACTTGAGTGCCAGCTCCCCTCTCAGTTCCAGTTTCCCCATCTCTACCTTTTGATATGGCCTAGTCTAGGTGGTTCCAGCTCTGACATTCTGAGAATCTGAGTAGTTGGACTAGGTCAGTCTCTTAGGGAATTTAGGCCCTTCGGAGGCCCCACTGAGACCAAATTGCCAAGAAAGCAAATGCACTGTCATGGGGATCAAACACTACGAAGCACAAAAGGGATGACCCAGGCGGAGGAGCACGGTGGTGGTGGTGCTGTTTAGAGGACGTACATCTCCCCGTCCTACACCCAGACAGAATCAGGCGGAATCCTGAGCTTGTTTAATTTAACATTTCTAATCACACAGCACTTACAGAGTCCTCTTTGTGCCAGGCACTGGGTGGGACCCCCATACGGATATTGAGGAGGGGCACAGACCTACACACAAGTTGTTCTAGAATAAGGTAACCCTAGGGTATGTTACAGATTTGTTATGGGGTTGTCTGAAGGGCAGAAATTTGTACATGGCCAGATCTATCAGTTTGCTGTTAGGTGTCAGCCTTTGTTTTATGCTTAAGGCTTGGGTCTTTCCCTGACAGCAAGTAGTCCCCTGATATTTCTTTTATTTTTTTCTTCCTTTCATTTTTTACATTTTACTTACCTGTCTCTCTGGAATTTCTTTTCAAGAAGTACCTCTTATTCTTCACTCCATTACAGTGAATCAGTAACCAAGGACCATATGACCCCTGCTCAGAGGGACCTGAACAGGAAGGTGATCCTGGCAAAATAAAGGAATACAGCCTCCCTAGGTAAGAGAGAGAGAGAGAGAGAGAGAGAGAGAGAGAGAGAGAGTGTGTGTGTGTGTGTGTGTGAGAGAGAGAGAGAGAGAGAGACTAGCACCAAGCCCGTTGTAGGTTTTGTTTAACATGAAGTGAATGGCAGTTCTGAGACCAGAACGCCTACCCATCAGTCTCAGGGATTTGTGGGTCTGCTAGGGTTATGTATGTGTATGTCTACAATTACACACCAAACCTGTATGGAGATAGAAGGGGGAAAGGGGGGGATAAATGATGATGGAAGGAGACTTGGGATAGTGAACACACAATATAGCATACAGGTGATATATTATAGAATTGTACACCTGAAACCTATATAATTTTATTAACCAATGTCACCCCAATGAATTCAGTACAGATTTTTAAAACCTGTAAGGAAATTCCTGCTCATTCCTGATACAGGTTTCAGGGTCAGCCCCTCTTGGTTGTGCTGTCCCCTACTTCACCCTGTTGCCATCTTTAGAAACTTGATCATTATGCCATGCCCAGAGGCACTAGCAGTTTCCCCTGCTGTGCTTTAACTTACCCTGTCCCCTGTTCAGTCTCCCAGGTTCACCCAGTAGACTCAGTCTGTCAGAGTGATAGCTTGGGACAAAGCCAACAGGCGGAACTATTACACGCAGCTGGATCCAGCTACAGCCCAAGCCCTGCAGAGGAGGCTATGATGTGCTTAGGCTCCAATGTGGCAAGAGCTGTGTTACCCCTTATCAAGACAGAGTCTAAGAGCGGTAACGTAGACGGGGGCCTACTATCCAGACTAGAGCAAAAAATGAAATCTTAGGCATCCCCTAAGACAGAGTCCCAGTTGCTAGTCTATAAAACATTTCTCCAGCAACTATCTTGTGCCAGCCACTGCATCACTGGTACTAAGGGAATAGGTCAATAAGAACTAAAAGTCAAAGTGATCTAAAAATTAGTCATTTGAGTTATTGAACTAAGGACCTTTCAGTTCATTTTTTCTAGGGACTAGATGACCCCAATTCTGGGATTAGAGCACCAGACTGGAAGAACCAAGGTGGATTTTCTACTACTTATTGCTCATTCTGATTCTGGACCTATTAGTCCATAAGGCTTTACCTTGACCTCTGTTTAACCATATTTTCTCATCTGTTTTGATCAGTTCCCCCTGCCTTTGAACACTTCCTCTTCCATGTGAGACCCTGTTGTCTACCGCATCTTGTCATCCTTGGGTAGATCTCCTTCGCTAGTATGGAGATCGGGTGACGTGTGTAACTTCTGTTTCTTCTGTCAGATGGGGAAACTGGGACCGAGGAGGTATTGATTCCAAAGTATTGTTTCTGAGCCATCAGGATCTCATACTTTGAAGAGAACCCCAAGGAGGTTTTGCCAAGGAAGTCAAAATCCAGAAAGCTCCAGCGAAGGGAAGGAGGAGACTCAAAAGGCCACTGGGATGCTCCAAGCCAGAGAAAATGAGGAGAAAGACAAGAAGCTTCAAACACAAGACAGTTAAAGACAATAAGACACTCACAGGAGTGAGTGACCAAGAATCCAAAAAACATGGCAGTCAGTGCTTCGATCCTGCAACAAATGAGAGAATTCAGGCGGGAAAGAGACAGTATGTGTGTGCCGAGTGTGGGAAAGCCTTTAGTCAGAGTGCGAACCTTACAGTACATGAGCGAATCCACACAGGAGAGAAACCCTATAAGTGTAAAGAGTGTGGAAAAGCCTTCAGCCATAGCTCCAACCTTGTTGTGCATCGGCGAATCCACACGGGACTGAAGCCCTACACGTGCAGTGAATGTGGGAAATCTTTCAGTGGTAAGTCGCACCTCATTCGCCACCAGGGAATCCACAGTGGGGAGAAAACTTACGAATGTAAGGAGTGTGGGAAAGCTTTTAGTCGGAGTTCAGGGCTTATTTCACATCATAGAGTTCACACCGGGGAGAAGCCATACACTTGTATCCAGTGTGGGAAAGCCTTTAGCCGTAGCTCAAACCTTACTCAGCATCAGAGAATGCACAAAGGAAAAAAAGTTTACAAATGTAAGGAGTGTGGGAAAACATGTGTGTCCAATACAAAGATTATGGACCATCAGAGAATTCACACAGGGGAGAAGCCTTATGAATGTGATGAGTGTGGAAAAGCTTTCATCTTAAGGAAGACCCTTAATGAACATCAGAGACTTCATCGTAGAGAGAAACCTTACAGATGTAATGAGTGTGGGAAAGCTTTTACTTCTAATCGAAACCTTATCGATCATCAGAGAGTTCACACTGGAGAGAAACCCTATAAATGTAACGAATGTGGAAAAACCTTCAGACAGACTTCTCAAGTTATTCTGCATTTGCGAACCCACACTAAGGAGAAACCCTATAAGTGCAGTGAGTGTGGAAAAGCCTATCGTTACAGCTCACAGCTAATTCAACACCAGAGGAAACATACTGAGGAGAAAGAAACCTCATAAATAACATGTATTGTTGGTAGGAGGACTAATTGCTACTTTCCAGAAAAGCAGTTTTTCAGTATCATCAATTTAATTGTATTTCTAAAAACGCATACAGGGAAAGTAATCAGAAGCAGACTGATTAACGTATGAGAGATTCATGCCAGCAAGGTGTAGAGTTAAAGGAAGAAAACTAGATTTTCAACAGTACAGGCTTTAAATTAATGATAGTCTAGCCATAGAATGGTTTTGCAGTCATTGTAAAGATTTTTAAAGAGTATTTAATGCCGTGGGGAAAATGATTTGGATAAAATGGAAGATAAAAAACAATGAAGTGTGATCCAAATGGGAAAAAATAAAAAACATTTATGTGTAGGACGAAAATGGGAATGTAATGATACCAAACCAAAATGTTAACAGTGATTATCTCTGGGTGATAGGATTATAAGTGATTTCTATTTTCTTCTTTGTACTTTTCTATGTTTTTTAGATTTTTCTACAAAGAGGATGTACTTTTTTATATTTAGTGAAAAAGTACAGTATTTTCTAAATGCAGTGAGTACTTGCTCATCTTCACTACACAGTATTAGGGAAGGTGCATAGAATACAGACTCTAAAGTCCTGGAATTGCACCCTAATACTGGCACATATAGCCGTGCGGCCAAGAGCGAGTCGCTTCCTTTTAGAGCCTGTCTCCTGTTTAGTACAAGCAGAAGCACCAGTCCTTGGGGTTTATTTTTCAGCTTTAAGAAAAGCTGACTTTATTGTCAACAAACTGTATAGCCACTTCTTTAATCACTGTTAGGTTCAAAGAACACAGCAAAAATGTATCCTCCCTCCCACAGTTGTATAAGGATCTACAGATAGTAGACACCTGCCTGGGCTCTGTCTCTTCCATAGATGTCTACAAAAGCTGCAAATATGTGTTCATTTGAAATAGAAACATTTGCAGGTTCCTAACCTTTAAAAAGACAGTCAGCATAACCTAATACTAGAGGAAGACTGCCTTCACACGTTATGTAGAGCTTAGTAGCTAAAAGTGTGGACTCTGAAGCCAGGGACTTACGTGTTCTCATCCCAAATTGACACACCAGCTTTTCAGTTTTGGATAAGTCACTAATGGCTCTTAGCCTCAGATGTGTCTGTGAAAAGGGAATAACTACCTGCCTCACAGGGGTGTCATGAGGATTAAATGACATAATAATGCATGTGATGTGTGACAGCCTGGCACGTGGTAAATAATAATTGTTTAAGTACAGGACGTTGTAACAGTGTTTCTAAACACTTAGCAAGAGTGATTCCAGAAGAGTTTTACCCAGGGTAGCAGTTAGAATCTTTCCAGGTGTTTCATGAACACGATACCAAGTACTAGCAGCTTAAACCTTAAGAACATTGTTTACTTAGGAGAATTCTAGAGGTAAGCAGCTCCAAATTTTGTTTGGCAACTTGGCAGTCTTCAAACTTCCATCTTAACTCCATAGTTTTCAGCATGTTGGCTTTCACGTTTTGCAACCTCATGGTTGCAGACGGCCGCTGCCACAGGTTCCTCACACAACTTCAAACTCTGGAAGTGAGGAAAGGAGCTGAGATGTCCTCACCTGCTTCCCTTCTCCGTTATCACTGAGAAAAGCCTTTCCTAGGAGAAGGCAGGGAGCTGAGTGGGCGACACTGCAGGTGCTCACCCGCTTCCTCCGGCTTGCGTTATGCTCTCCCCTCCAAGAAGGCCTTAGACCATTTTCAACCAGCATTTTAAACGATTAAGTGCTCTGTTCAGAATCCATCTGGGAATACTTAGAATCTCCCCATACTTAACTCAGCCATCCCTCTTTATGCACAGTGAGTCCCTAAGCCTAATGCCATTTGTCTTATGTTTATAGTTTATTGTTTCAGGAACTGTTAGGGGTGCGTTATCTCATTTAACCCTCATAATGTTTGTGCAAGAGCATCGGGTCTCAGTGGGGTTAGGTGACAGGCTAATAAGAGGTTGGAGCCAGGATCTGAACTCGGATCTGACTTTCAGGTCCTTGCTTCCTTTACCAAAGTGCCTCAGCCCACCATGGTGGTCGTATCCGTGACGGGGGGACCTGCTGGGATTCTTCTGGATTCGCCATTTCTGTGAAAGGGGAGTGTATATGCACAATTATTTCATCACGGTTTCATAAGGAAGATGCTATCAGTCTTTTCTGAGTTAGACGTATGGCCTATCTCTGCACCTTATAATTTAGTTTTAAGGATTATCTGTTTCTTCCTTGCTGTTCCTGGAAAGAAGGAAGTGTGAAGTATGAAGGGTATATTTGTGTAAAAAGGGATTGTCTGGTTTTGTTCTGTTTTCATAGGATGGTGGCTTACACATGATTTTGTAATGTAATTGTCCCTCTGCATAGTTGTTCAAAACACAGCTTGGAAGCTCTGGAAGACATTGCTGCATTCAGGGGACGGGACCGAATCACTGGTCCCCTCATGTAGTGACTTCCCCAAGAGTCAGGTGGACCTGAGGCCAGGGTGACCCACATGTGGCAGTGGCTAAATAGAACAGCAAAGTCTTTCGATGGGGAAAGTCCCATCGTCTTTCCCTTGTCACGGTTCCTTTTACAGTTTGTATTCCATGCCTTTTGTCATACCAGCCACCCTCACCTGCTGATCGCCTGTGTGCAAACTTGCTGTGGCTAGTGCCCACTGGGCTTCCAAAACTGCTCTGAGGACATGGGCATTTAGCGTTCTGTGTGCCTGTCGGGTTATTCTGTGAATTCTTATTATTGCTGAGCAGAGTTGTTGATGCAGATATGTTGATACGATGTTTCTGAGCAGGTGTTCTCTGAACGAGACATTTTCCTATCACTGTGTCGTAATGTCTGGAATTCTTTCTTCACATATAGGCTTTCTCTTTCATCTTGAAAGTCTTTGCCACCTTGTACCTTGTCATCTCAGACCCAGAGTTAGGAATATACATCTTCACATTTCTTGCCTCAGGCAAGCGAAGATAATGGACTCTCAGGAGGTCCTCACCCATCCCTTAGGCTGATACCTGTCTTGAGCTGTAGGAGTACACATTTTTAAGTGGTCCCTGTACTGTTTTAGAGAAATATCCTGCTGTATAGTTTGAACCAAACACGCACCGTCCTCTAGAGCCTACCAAGACTACCAGCTGCTTGCTTCAGTCAGTTTGAGCACACAGCTCTTCCTTTCAAACCCGTTCATGAGGCCCCTGGGATTGTGTCTTTCAGCTTCCTGCTCGAGGGGAGACCTGGCTGTGCCCTAACAGCAGTGCTTCCTCCACGGCCCCTCAGTTGTTAGTTTTCATCTGCCTCAACCCACTGCTGCCATTTCGTCTCTTAATTCTCCATCCCAAACCCAGCCCTTCTGAAAACATGTATCACTAAACTGCTGTGTATTACTCGTCGCTGTCCTTGTCATCTGCTGGCTTCCTGTGCACTCACATTTATTCACTCATGTTTGTAGCACCCTGAATATTCCTGAGGAATACAGAGAGGCAGTATATTTTAGCCACAGACATACCGGTTGTGTAGAATTGCTCTTGTGTGGAATAGAAATACATGTCTTTTTCTAGTTGAGAGAAAAAGTGTGAAATAAAGTCTCATTTTATACAGCCTTGATTTAAAAGAAATATGAAAGACAGAATCTTGCATAGAGAGGAGAGTGTCTACCTAGGCTTAGAGATACTTTTCACTGATGGTGTGTGCTGTGTTATGTCTCACTTGGAATGGAGAAGAAAATTGAAAGCGGAAGGAGCTCTAAATCGCTGGGTAATTGTGTTGCCTCTAAAGCCCGTAAGACTAAATTTCAATTCATCTCTGTATCCTCAGTGACAGATTTCCTTTGTTGACTTTTTTCAATTGAATATAACTATCCCCATGTTGTTAGATTGTTTTTAGAAACTAGACTGTCTTTAATCACCTCTGATGTTATAAAACATTTCGCAGGAAATAGTTACAATTCCACCAATAAATATCTGCTGTTGTTTACTTATATAAATATCACTGATTTCTTTTTTCTTTTTGCTTCCTTTACTCAGAGTGGGAAGGAAACAATTGTTAGCTTTTCATTAAGCAGCTATTTTTGGAATGAAGAAGTGATCTAGCTTGTTTCTGATTCAAATGCAAATGAAGCTTGTTATTTTCATACCTGTAACACAAAAAACAAGAGCTCTCTAGCCATTAGACCGTCCCTTCCTCAGTTCCTCTGAGGACATGTCCAGCCCCTTTGTCGCGCCTCCTCTCTGGCCTCACTGTCACGTAGACTGCAGTTGGCTGCATGAAACCTGCCGGGTTCCCTCAAAAGTCCATGTTGGCTTCAGAAGGTAGTTCTGTGAAGGGGTAAGAAAGGAGAGAGCAGACTCCCTTCTGGACACACAGACACAGGACCTGGCTGGTTCTCCTCCCACCGACCGTTTCAAAGCCACATGGCACCGCTGACTCTGGATTGCAGACGTGCAAGAGCTGTAACCAGCCTCTGAAACTGAGGCCAGTGGCCCCCAAAGCTGGAAATTACAAGCGCTAATTTCATACTTTCAGATAAACTTCCCCAGGTCCACCAAGTCAGCATATCTGGAGCAGAGCCTACGGATCTATAAAACAAAACTTCCACAGTGGGGATTGAAGAAAAAAATTCCATTAGTGGCCTTGTCTCCTTACATGACTGTTTTTGTAATAATTACCCATTTTTCCTCAGAAGAACCTATGGATCACAAAATTATTGAGACATACTAAAGTTTGTATAATTATGACAAATCAGCAACCAGTTCACAGAGTCTGAAAGAAAATGCTGCCACATTTGCAGTGTTGGTTTAATCACAGAACTGAGCAGATATTGATGTTTTTAAAAGATACATAGGACAATATGGTAAGTCAGATAATCATAAAGCCCTCTGGCTACAAACCCACCTGAAATACTAGATGAAACTTAAACACCCTTTAAGAGGCCTTTTAACAAAGTGACGCTCAGAGGCTAAAATGAATGAAGTGGAAGCCAGAAAGGGAAGTGGGTGATGATGCCTTAGGTGACATGAGGCAGTGTGGTGACCTTGGTCCAAGGGACTTAGATTTTATCAGCTGCAAGGGCAGGATTTGAGTTTTGGGGCTTGGAAGAGGTAGAGAGTTGGAACTGAGATGTCCACACGAAGCCTCGATGTTTGTAGGGCTATACTGCAGTGAAAGTAACATG